TAAAATACTATTTTAAGATTAAAGACAAGAGTATCTTGGTAAAAAGACTTATGAACAGTTTAGCTTCTACTTGATGGCACCATGAAAACTAATAAAATCAGTACTAAAAGGAGCAAACTGAGAAGGGCAAACCAAAAATTAATTGTGCCAGCCAAATCTTCACCTCAATCTTCAGTAATCTGGCCTTTAATCTTAAAATAGTATTTTATATGCATTTGAGGAGACTGTGCCTTTAGATTTTTAAATACCAGCAAATTTATTTATTCATTACACTGGGCAACAAATTTTCTGAAATGTTTTGCTTCCTGAAAATTCTAGCGAATATGATAGACCCCTTCAAACCGAACACAAATATAATTTCAGAATGACTGTATCATGTAGGAATCTTGAGAAATGTGAAGTTAACTTTTAATGACTATAATGTATTTAATTGCATGTTACCAACATGCTGTATGAGTTCATCATTCTTAAATATATTTTGCTGATGATTTTTATTTGCATTCAATGTCTGATGCACTTTTCTGTAATGTCCAACAATAGTCAGTCAGCATTAATGAATTCGTTGCCCTGATACTGCTTTTCAATTGTGGCAATATCTCAGTGAAAATTTTCATGTTGCCGAGAAACAAGTCCAGGTTGGAATGCAAAAAATGAATCTTCAATGACATGCTGCACTTCATGGTCTTGTATGTTTTTCCAACCAGCTGAATGTAGTTTGGTGCTCTGTAGTTGCCAAGAAAATTTGCAACAAGCTTGCCATTGTGTAAAACATTTTTTTAATAAAATGGTACATGATAGGTTAAATTACAGGTTAGTTTAATGATTAGTAGCCAAACATACACTCAAGATATACCCAAGTGTTCAGGAAGCAAAATCGTTATTGTCCATTGTTATCATAAGTTACATGCCACATTTTGACTGATTTACAGTGTTAATTGATTTCATTTTTAATGAATCAACCCAAAACAATGCAATTACCAGGAAGATACCTTAAGTAATTATTGATAGATGCCCATTAAATATCTAGTGAATTTGTTATTTGGAGCAGTTTTGACTCTCCTATGCTATCTGCAAGATGGAAAAAAAATCATGGTTTTTCTTGTTTAGGAAAACTTATGTTCTCTCATCTTTCACTTTTACCAAGCATCACAATCTACTCATTCCATCTCTTTAATTAAAAAAAATGTATTTCAAAATAATGTATTTATTTATTTCACCTTGTGACTTTCAACGGTGGAATTCATAGCTCAAATTTAATACTAGTAGTTGAAATTGTTGATGTGGAGAAAATAGGAAGGAATATTAGGTATGTTTGCTGCAATTTATTTATAAAAGTAATAAAGGCAGGATATAAATAAATAAACTCTGCTTATGCACTGAAGACAAATTCCTTGTGTGTCCAATCACACTTTGCCAATAATTTTATTCTTTCTATTCTAACCCCAGGGAGGTAAATCAGCAGCCCTAATCTTAAATCAGCAGCCTTAAATCAGAAAGTCAAATCAGCAGCCCTGGGGAGGTACTAACAGAAGATGTGCCAAGACATGTAATTTTTAATGTTAGCATTAGTTCCATGTTATATGTAAATAAGGGCTCCATAGTGAACCATGAATCCTATCTACTGTGGCGTCAGATCGAGATAAAGTGTCTAAAAATGATTTTCAGTAGCATTTACATAAAACCGAAAGCTTAAAGAATAGGAACTTTAATAGGCTTTTCTTCTTTTTGCTTCATCTGTCATGTGGAAGCAGTCCATACAAGTGACCAGACAACATGGAAGCAACCGATGCTTCTATCCGCGGACCACGCTGCATTTCAAATGATTGCCCTGGTTTAGGACCAGCGTCCGACTTTCCAGTCACGCTGATGGGAAATAAAACTGATTGAAATATTAGGGACCCCGCTGCTTTCTTAATGGCAGCCTCGCTGTTTTCTTATGCCTCTCCCGCTTTCGTTCTTTTTTCTCTCTCTCTCGCGTACAAACACAATCGCAAACCTCCTCGGATATTAACTATTTGGGCAAGAGGAGAGGAAGTGACTAAACATGAAACAGTCAAACGTCGTCATCTGGGTTCTGACAGGGATGACATAACAAGCAGCCCCCGAACATTAAATCCGTCCTCCTCCTCCTCCTCCATCACCCCACCAAGAGCCTGTGAACGAAAGCGGTCCGCAGCTTTCCCTCCTACGTTCCGAGTTAAATGCCGGCCCCGCTGGGTGGCCTGAGACAACGCAGCTTCACCTCAGCCCCACCTCCTCTCATATCTACTGCCCTTCGTTCACAGGCGTTGGAAAGTTGCTTCCTTTGCGTTGTCGGTGCTACCGGAGCAGTCGCTCCTACTCGCTCCGGCGTTCTTTGCACCAAGAGCTTAAGCACCACAGTCCACTAGCCGCCGCCACCTCAGCCTCTAGTGGGTGGGTGATCTGACTCACCACCCCCACCCTCTTTCAGGCTTACCATCCATTCTCCCCCCGCCCCGACGTTTTTTGCGGGCTGAAATAAAGCAACAGCACGATTGCCGGCGCGGGCGCTGAGCGCCCCGGCGGGTACCTTTTCGGAGGAGGATTAATGCTGGAAAAGAGGCGGGACGAGGGAGCGGGGAGGAAGGGCAAAACAGCTACGACCCACCACCCCGCTTCGCCTGACAACACCCCCCCTCCCCAAGGGAAACGCTCGTGGCAAAGTCAACGACCCGGAGCCCGCCGGGCCTCATCAAACGCCACGGCCCGACCCACATACGTCATGGAAACAAGCACGTCAACCCATCCAATCCAATAGGAAGGCGACAGGAAGGCGGGGGAAAAAAAGGTACTCACCGCCTTTTCGGGCACACTTCCCAGTCCCCGCCCCATCTCTTATGCTCCCCCCTCCCTTTCTCCCCCATACCCATGAAGGCGCCGCGTCTTCGAACCCCCCTCCTCTTCCTCTAAACTGAGCGAGACCCTGTCACGTGACGGGGACCGGGCCGGTTCGGAGCCTGGCAGCTCCTGGCGTGCTCCAGGCTGGGGAGGTCGGCCGGCGACGGCGCGAGCGAGTAAGTGGGCAGCCCTTGGGCGGAGGGCGAAGGGTGGACGGGAGAGCGGCGTTGTGTCTTTCAGGGGTCTTGGGGCGGGACCCGAGCTAGCCGCCGGCTCCTTTCCCTGCCAGGGTGGCCTGAAGAGGAGGGAAAGCGCAGCTGCTGGGCTTGCACGCGTGCTCGCCTACCGCCGACTAACGAGGGCGAGGTGCTGCCAGGGTGTTAGTGCCGAAGGCGGGGCGGGGAACCCAGCTCCCTCCTCTTCCACTGCTGCCTGCTACTGCTGCTGCCTCCGCCGCTGCCGCCTCCTTCCCCCTCCCCTCCCTGCTCGCGGGCTGGCTCGGCGGCGGCGGCGGCAGCTTAAGCGTTCCGGGCTGGATTGTGGGGACCTTGCGCGGCAAGCGAGCAGCAGGCGCTGGTGCCGATGGCGGCAGCCGCTGTTCTTCTAACGGGTGAACCTGGGCGGCGGTAAAGGAGCTTTGAGGTAAGAGGCGGACAACGCGAGGGGGAGACACGGGTGCCGCGACCGGGGGAACCTCCAGCTGGAGAGAGGCAGGTGTCGGGGTTCCGCTGAGCAGGCCGGCAGGCGAGAGAGGATCGGCGAGCCGAAAGGAGGAGGGGGCGATGAGACCTGGGTCGGGGCGGTGGGCCCACTTGTGCGATCGCCTCCGCCTTCCTCCCCTCGGTGGGCGATGGGGGGGACGACCACGCCGGCCGCCTCGGAGCGGAGTGCCGTGTGACCTTGAGGGCACCCCCGTGTAAGGCGGGCGGCCAGTGGCGGCTGCCCGGCCCCGAATCTCCGCGCCACCTGGTTAGACCGAGGGCGAACTGCTGCTGCTCTTCTCCCCACCTTAAAAGACATCCGAGAGCGCGCAGCTCGCTCCGCCGCTGCCTTGCGCTCTTGGAATGACCCCCCGGACCCTTCAGCAGGGTGTCCGCGCCGCCGGCTCAAGAAGCCCGATGCCTCCCTTGCCCGTCTCCGATAGCTTCGGTCCGTGTGATCCCCTTTTGGTGGGGAGTCAGCTGTTCAGCCTTGTCTCGCAGAGGATCGTTGTGCTAGTTCTGAACTTGAGGCTGGCTTTCCCTGCTTTCCTACCTGTAAGATCGTTGACTTTTGACAGTGAGCTTATATTGCTGAGAATGAAACGATTGATTGTATTCCTCTTTCTCCCGGAGGACACCCCGACTATCAACGTTACTTATTAATGGCAAAGGATATTTTTTAAAAAATAAAATAAAATTGAAGCACATAGAAACATTTCAGAAGCATCTCTCTGAATTGTAGCTTGAGCCAGCAAACCTGGTCAAAACAGCCTTGGATACTATAGATCCTTTGTGGTTTTTATGGCATGCTTGCAAGACCCTTTCTGGGGATTGCAGCCAGCACTGAGCTTATGAATTCACCCTCACTTGAGGAGGGGGGGGAGTGGAAAGGGGAAATAGCTTCCAAGCAATTATAGCAATCCAAGCAGTAAAGGCACTTGGAAGATTGGTGGCTGAGACTACTACCTCATGTATTCATCAACTGATACCTACTTTTAAGCCATTGGTATAAAATAAGCCATTGGTATAAAAAAAACCAAATAGAGGAGAAACTTAAGATACTGAAGAGCATCGCATATGAAAGATAACCGATAAAAGTTGGCTTATGTGATATATTGCTGCTATATATTGTAACCACATCTATTGTAGAAAAATTTCAGTAAAGTAGTATAGGGCTTACCTTAAATGCCTATTCTTTTGGCCTATGTATTTACCGTAGGTGCAATTCTAATGCTGTGATAGCCACTTTAGTTTTGCTGGTCTCTGTGTCCCACCCCCCACCCCCAGTAGATAGTGAAGCTGCTGTGTTCTATAAATTTAAATGTATGAAAATCATGAAGGTGTTTGGTGATACACAGACTATTAAATTGCACTGATTTCAATGCAAATAAATACTGTAAACAATTCAAGCTTGAGATATTCATGTAGAAAAGGTACCAAATAACAAGAATTGGAAGCTTGAAATTTCACCTTTTCCATGAGCTTGCTTCATAGTCTTAGGAAACTATGTTTAGTCTCAGCCTACGCTCATCACCTTCAGCCTTGAATATAGGAAAAATAATTATTCGTAAATATTTTTCTGTAAGATAAATATAAGTATTGCTGTCAATAGAAAAGTATGTATCTATTAAAGGATAGAGTTTGATGTCAAACAACCAGAATCAGACTCATGATAGTGAGTTCCCAGTTCACGTATACTATTTGTATATTTAAACATGCAAATCATACAAGCAAAGGAATATGTCTTGGGACTTCTATAATCAAAATGATAATTGTGTCTTTCTGCTTTAGAAGAGCAATTATTTTTTTAAAAGATTGAAAATAGTTTCTTTAATAAAGTTTCTAATAAATCATGCATAATAATGACAGGAAAATAACAACATACATACATACATACATACATACATACATACATACATACATACATACATATATATATATATATATATATATATCTTACCGTTGATATATATTGTGACTTATGTGCATATATTTTTGATTCCAGAAGCTTGTGTTGCTATCAAATCAATGATTGTTGCAGAGAATAGAAAAAAATAATGTTCACTATATTTGATTTATAGTGTAGCAAATGAAAGGTGTATAAACGTGTCTTAATTAGGAATTTATCTGAAACTGCTGTCTTAATGCAGTGGTAAAATGTTTTAAAGGAATAATACTATAAGATTGGGAACCTATTTTACAGTATTTGTCATCCCTTTCCTAATTATACAAGAGACTTCTAAAAGCAGGATGGATGGAGAATAGTACTATGAAACAGATGAAAGGGATCTCAATTGGTATAAGGTGATTGAAATATTTCATGAACCCTGATGATATTCTCTGATTAGCGTGGAACAATATTGAAATATCAACACTTAAAATTCAGTTTGCAGATATGGCCTTATGTTTATACACCTCCATCCATAAGGCTGATTCATATTTTTACTTATTAAAATGTATCTGTATATAATGCTATATATTAAAATGTGCTAAGCATATATTTTCTGGGTTGTCGTCTTGCTTTTGGTAATGATACAGAGTAATTGCATATTTATGTAGTGCTTTGTTTGCTGGGACCCATAATTCTATAGGATTTCTATAAGTTATTATATATTTAAGATATAAAACTTTCAGGTGTTCACATGCGAATATTACAGTTTTTCTGAAAGACTTCAGTTCGGATCCTAAAGATAGTCCTGTTTTGTTGTTGTTGTTGTCTGTAGGTGGTAAAATAGTCAAATTGGTAAAATATTGGTTTAACTGGTTGCAAATGGATTTACAGGTTCAACTCAAATGCTGTATTAAGTTTTTAAAACCTTCAAATAGTTTTGATCAAGAATATTTGAAGGATTGCCAGCAAATGTATGAAATCATTATTTTGAAGGATTGTTTGTTGGTCTGCCATTAAAGGTTAAAAAGGTTCATGGGGACCCGATATGGAATCGTTTACATGGAAGACCCTTCCTATTCCAAAATATCAGTGTTTCACTTTATCTGGGGCTTAAGAAACTGTTTCAACTATGTCCATTATGTCTATCATGTCTATAGCAACACATACATTAAATCTTGACAGTTTATCTGATTTACTTTAAAAAAATAATAAATATATGCATGGACTTTATTTTCTGTAGGGTTCCATGTTTTATGTTAAAACTAATTGGAATTTTTTTTTTAAAAAAAGTGCCTAAACGGTACATTAAATAACCAAAATATGAAGTTAGAATAGCATAAATCATTGGATAATTAATTCACAGATGACTCCAGCAGTTTGATCTACACATTTTTGTGTTTGAGCATGACCATTTTGAACTATTGAATTATACTGTATTGATGCAAAAAAAGAACAATATAAATTAACTGAATTTTATTAAAAATTTTATTATTTTAAATCATGCATATCTATTGTCTGAAATATATATTTCCCTTCACAAGTTTTCACTTGATAAATTTTGGTGCGATAATGGAACTTGATATATGCAATATTTCATTTGAAGATTGTGTGAAGGAGACTTCCATATCTTAGGAAACAAAATCAGGATGATGGAAATTGCAAAATGAATCTTGAAATATTGTATTAATTAAGGTATATATTATAGGCCCATTGCGTATATTATGATATGGGGGGTATATTTTCATTTTATTTTTCACTACTACTTACAATTTTTTGCTTTAAATAAAATTTATCTGTCTCTTTGCTATGTGAATATAAAACAAATTATCCTGTATTGTGTTGTGTAGGTTGTGGACCAGATCCTTTTCAAAAATATTTATTTGGTATTCATTTGGTGAACTGTTATATATTTTGTGCTTTAGGATTAATCAAATTATATAGTTGATGTTAAAAAAAATACTGTTGAGTTTTTCTGCAGGGCTAACAACTGCCTTAGTTCTTATTTGTCATGTGATAATGTTGGAATTTTGGGAGCAAATATTGGGTGAACAATGGCTTCTAAAGGGAGGCATTTTTCACAAAGTAATTGTCTTAGGGGTTGAGTCACAAAACAAAAACTGAAACTGAATGAGTTGGTTGGGAGTCAAAGGAAGTTTCTTCAGGAATATTGGTGTCCACAGGAGCCCTTGCCTTTGTTCAGTGACAAAGACCTTTGCTGTATAGTTGTGCACAAAATGAGGAAATAATTGTTTCAGATCCAGAGAAAGATATCACTTGGAGATTCTGCTGAAGTGTTTTATTTCAGGAACTGAAACCCAGAATTTCTTTTGTTCCTTGTTTTCTACCCAAAAAAGGGGGGGCGGGCGGGGAGGGAGGCTTGGATAAAGAGGCTAAGGTTAGTGATTATTCTTCTGTCCCTTAGTAATTCTCAGGACAGAATATCCCACTGGCCTGAACACCCTCTGCCACCCACTGATAATGTTTCAAAACAGCATAACCCATTGATGCTTTCCTCCAGTATTCCCAGTTTGTCCCCTAAGCTGCCATTATCATGGGTCATTTTTCCACACCTTGCTTGGAGCCA